TGCATGCCATCTTAACAGATTTAAATTGATGATCTATAATCCGGAATCGCCGAAGTCCCGACGAGTCCAGATTACAGACTTTGTACTGTAGTTCTATTTACTGGTTATTTGTCTTAGCTCACTTCGGGTTCTTGCACTTAATTATGTTTGATATGCTAATTTTTCCCTAGCTCGATGGCTTGCCATTTTCTCATCATTAAGAATCTTTGTACGCCCTACTAATTCCTATAATTTATTACTTTGATTCTGAACCTCAATCATTACTTAAATAATAATAAAAAACTCATGTAAACATTTTTTCTTAATTTCAAACTTTGATTAGTTATTGTACTTGTATCCATTTGCAAAAAACTTATTCTTGCTTTTTGAGACATAGTATGGGGCTTCTTAAGCGAGGAAGAACCAGCAGGTTAAAAAAATTAAACACATTTTCCTCCATTTAAATACTAAATAATGTTTGATTAATTAAAAACACGATACGAGTTTCCCTCAGAATTATGTTTTTAAGCCTTAGCTTTTGTTTCGCACTCATTCATTCCTGTCTCAAGTCACTTTTAACTCAATTCAGAGAGAGGGAAAAAAATACCCATGGTCTGACATATAACTACCATTTAACATCTCATTTCAAATGGGACCTGATCATCAGCTAGTTTTAATGTTGCCATTTGATATTCCATATCTTTAAACTTTATAAAATTATATTTGTATAGCCACTTAGCAAAATGACGGATTTAAAAACAATGAGCATAGTGGATGTTTACAATTATACGACAATACAGCCACCTTTCCTACTTGTTACTATTCGATTGTATTGGTGTTACTCCTGTAAAAATGTTAGGTTTGGTTATTTTATTTTGGCAAAGACGAGATTCTCCTTCTGTGGAGGACTTTCTAAGGACAAGTGGCATTACCATTACATATAGGAAAACCCACAAAAGTGTGCACATAGAGCCTGCTTGCTCAGCAACACATGAATTTAAGGAGGCTATGGTGCATTTTCTTGAAGTGATGTCAATGATAACAGAGATATGATTTTGGCAGCACCCTTTAGGAATTTAATTCGAGGATTTTCCAGGTTTTGAGTCACTAGTATGTTACCGAGCTTTCAAGTGAGTGGTTGATGCTCTCTTGAACTTTTAGTTTTTAAGAATGTCTTATGGTGAGTACATGCTGTTTACTGAACCATAAAAAATTATCCCAATGGTTCCAAAAGGATTAATGCAATTCAGAAAAAAGATTTTTCAAGTGACTAAATTTTCAAGAGGTAATTTGAACATTTTCGTCGACAAAATACTGGGTGATATATAATGAAACTAATATGAACTAAAGTGAGGATAGACGAGGGTAAGTTGAAAATAAGTTTCCCCTGTCGACTGTGGTCAGAATTGTGTACGAAAGTCAAAAAATAGAATGAGACATTAAAGATATGACATACCTTTATTTTATTATTCTCGTACGAGTACGTTGAGACATTTGTCATATCGCTTGATAAGCTTCAAAAAGTCCTCCAAGAAAAATTCACACTTTGCATATGGAAGAAGCATTGAACGGCTATGGGTGAAAGGCGTCACAGCAGGAAAACACGCAAGTCACCGACACACCATTGGGTAGAGGTCGCTGCAAATCAAGCAGATGGCGCTGTTGCTGTGCCTGCGCAAAGCGGAGACCAGCCTCTCATTTGAGCCCTGGTAGGTATGGAGAGAAGGTGCGTTTTGAATTAGTGGTCAAAGGAGGAAGAGAAAGCGGTTATCCGCCATGAATGGGCACGTGGAGTATCAGGAACAGAAATTCATAACCGCCTCGTGGAAGTCTATGGGCTAGGTGTGATATCGAAGCAAATGGTGCGGAGATGGTGTCGCACATTCAGTGATGGACGTCAGCAAGTGGAAGACATACCGAGAGCTGGACGGATGCGCACGGCCACTACAGATGCAAATGTCAGGAAGGTGGATGACATGATCAGAGCGAACCGGTGTATCACCATCGATGAAGTAGCGGAAGAACTTGGAATCCTCACATGAGCAAGCTCAAAATATCATCCACGACATTCTTCGATACAGAAAAGTGTCAGCACGATGGGTGCCCCAACAACTGACCTCGACACACAAGGAACAACGAATGGAGGTCAGCCTGAAACATCTCGTGCGTTATCATGAAGATGGCAATGACTTTCTGTTTTGGATTGTGACGGGGGATGAAATGTGGGTCCACCATTTTACGCCAGAATCGAAGGCCGCATCTATGGAAACATCTGTTATCACCTGTCCAAAAGAAGTTCAAGACAACTCCCCCTGCAGGTAAAGTGCTCCTCACAGTTTTCTGGGACGCCCAAGGTGTTTTGTTGCTGGACTTTTTGAAGGTTGGAACCATCAATGCTATGTGCTACTGTGACACCGTCGAAATTGAAAGAGGCGATTCGGCAAAAGCGGCCTGGCCTTCTCACATCTGGTGTTCTGCTGTTGGATGACAATGCCAGACCACATTCGGCGATGGCAACGCAAAACCATATTGCAACTCTTGGTTGGGAGTGCCTACACCATCCGCCATACAGTCCTGATCTCGCACCAAACGACTTCCATCTGTTTCCGGCTTTGAAGAAAAATCTCGGGGGAAGGCGCTTTGGAAGCAATACTGAAGTGAAACAAGCTGTTCAACGCTTCTTCCATATGCAAAGCCCTGATTTTGCCCTGGAGAACTTTTTGAAGCTTATCAAGCGATATGACAAATGTCTCAATGTACTTGGTAGCTATGTGGAAAAATAAAGGTATGTCATATCTTTAATGTCTCATTCTATTTTTTGACTTTCATACACAACTCTGACCACAGTCGACAGGGGAAACTTATTTTTCAACTTACCCTCGTACATATATTTATATCAAATAAACACATTTAACCTTAAAATAAGAACAGTAAAATGACTTACATCATGCTAGTAATTTAATTTGTAACACACGGCATTATTTATCAAATGTAATGCAAATTACAAGAAGAATGTGATTTTACTTTAACGTTCGAGCCCGGCGAGCGCTTCACTTGTCATATGCCCAAAATACGACGCAGAGCGACTCTCTTCTTGTATTGAGAATGCGAAGACGCTGCTGTTGGTTCGTGTACTTGAAAAAAAAAAAAAAAAAAAAAAATTGAAATATCCAATTTGTTTTGCATCAGGAGGAGGGGCATGCTTTGATCCAGGTACTTCAAAAAAAGTGTTCGATTCGTTCGAAAAAATTGTATCCACGGGTAAAAACTCATCAATAATATCGTATCGGAGGTACTTGCAGTTACTTCATCACTGCTATCACTAATAACTCGTAATCTCTCAGAGCGAATGATGATGTCACTTCCACCATCACTTTCAAGGTCATTACTCTTCATTATCACTTTCAAATGAATCAGAACTTGACATGGGTTATTTCGTAACTATCAGTATAACACTTGGTAAAAAAATGAAAACAATTTCCAATTCCTATAAAACAATTGCTCTCAATAATTGCGTAAAGTATACTAACTAACATCAGCATCTTTGCATTTTCAATACAAAACAAGAGGGCATATGACAAGTGAAGCGCAGTAGCGCTTCGCCAGACACAAACGGTTAAATATAGAACTAAGGAAAATTTCAAGCTTAAATTTACTGAAATAAAAAGAAATTTTATGTTTTGAATTGAAAATATGAATACACGAGAAGCCATAATATATTTGCTTTATTATTAATATGAAAAAGCACTATTTCAAAAAATGCTTATATGTTTGTCCAATAAACCTTTTTGCAACTAATGAAATATAAGGAGCATTAAAGGAAATTTTAAAATGAAAGACTATTTTCAGTGACAGATTCTAGCCTTGATAGTTAAATCCAAGTAGAATGATTATCATGCAAGAGCTTCCTTTTTTATACATTACTAACCCACAAGCCGATGTATACTATACAATAGGGAAAACACGTGAACAATCCCGCCAAAAGAACCACGAAACTAACAAAACTTGGCATACTGCTAATCAAAACTGAATATTTACACCAGGCAGAGTAAAAGTAAAACAAATCGGACTGACAAATCCTGCTTTGCCCGAATTTTCTCAGGATAATAATGACTGCAATATATACAAACCGAGATAACTTGGAATAATCAGGCAAGCGGTTAAAACACACTATTTTAAATGCTCATCAATAGCTTCATTGATGGTAGGAATCTTTTGTTCTATTTAAAATTAGATAAACTTTAGAACAGAACTCAGAAACAATTAAACTTTTTTAAATAAAAAATTCATTATTACTGACTTATTTCATATTTAACATGTTTTTACGCTACTATGCATTACTGTTTTATCTGCTACATCAAAAATATGCTGTATTTACATGCACTATATTTATGTTTCAAGAACTAAGCAGTTTCATAAAACTTGAATGCACCATTCCTATTAAAAAAAAAAAAAAAAAAAAAAAAAAAAAAAAAAAAAAAAAAAAAAAAAAGTAAAAATACTTAACCCTGTCAATGGAACAAATAAATTCATAAACAGCATTGGGGAGGAAACAAGGGAATGCTGCCAGAAATTTGATGTGATAACAATTTTGATACCACCTGAAGCACAAAACTTGATACCTTTTACAATGCTTTTGGGAAAGACAACAGGAATATTTCATATATTTAAACCTGAATATACAGACGATGAAATGTTTTTAATATTCAGACCAAATATTTTCTAGTGAATTAACTTGACACTTGCTACGCACTCAGCCCTTACTGCTTTAGTATGAAAATTAAATACTTTACTACGCATACATACACAATAAATGTGGGAGTTCAGTGCAAAGAATACAAAAAAACCAAACACAAATACATATAATTTTTTTATTGTAAAAGTTGGATACACATCTGCTTTTATCTTCAACACTTTTATGGCTGAAAGAAAATAAAAAAAAAATTGTTTTAATGGTAAGCCATTACAAAAATCACTTTTGAAAAAGTAAAAAGATGAATGTAACTGAAGAGGAAACAGAAAGCAGCAGCTAGAAAAGCTTGAAGAATAAGCAGAAGTAAAGTTCCATGTGCTCTTTAATGTTTCTGTGAAGAAATAATACAAAATGAATAAAATTTATAGTATAAGAATTGTTTCAGGTTAGTCCACAGCAAGCTCCTACTGTAACAGTTAGTAACAAGCCAACTTTGTATAAAATATTTTAAAAACTAGTAATCTGTTACTCTATTTTATCAATGCCTTGGCATAAGAAGCAGTTTTTCAAAAGTTAGGTAAAGAAGTATTAGTGCAAAATGAGGAAAAAAAAAAAGATAAATAAGTAGTAAAGTATATATATGTATATATATAAAAACTTCTACAAAGGTATTAAAAAATGAAAAAAAAATATTCCAGATGCAGTAATCAAATTTTACCTCCAAACGATAAGTAAAATAAATTTATACTAAAAGGGCATTCAACGAAAAAAACAAGCCAATGGTTCTACAACAGCAATGATTTCTCAAAATATTCAATATTGTGTTTTACACTAAGTGTTCCATGAAAAAATTATGAAACTGATGTTGGATGATTACGAAACACTGTTTGATGTTATGCAAATAATTAACATAATTTAAAACAATTCTTTAAGCAAAATTTTTTTGCTTTGTCACATGTTATAAAACAGCCAATCACCATGGATCACTTTTGGAGTTACCAAATACAAGAAAACTACTCTCTATTACAAATGATGGAGGATTAGATGGTGATTGCTGATTAGTTGTTAAAAACAAGCAGCTTACAATTTTTTTGTGAAATGAAGGAAAAAATAGTGCTTCTTCCTTTGACAGGTAAAGTAGATAGAAACACATGCAGAATGCATTTTTGTCCGTGCTTCGGTTCTCAGCTCAAAAATAAAGATTTTAATGTCACTATTTTAAAAGTGTTAGTTTTCTTTGGTTTTTGTTTTATTTTTTAAACTGGTAAATAAATATAAATTGTTCACTAATAAGTAATATTTTTATCATTAAAAGTAATATTGTTTATATAATTAATTGATTTGACAACTGATTCCGGAATGAAACAAAAATTAAAAATACTAATGTTAAATGAATTTTGGATAAGCTTGCCAGAAGAATATCCGAATTTATCAAAATGAGCAACCTGTACTTACGAGACAGGTTTTCCATATTGCGCCGCAACAAAATCTAAATACAGAAACTGACTCGCTGTTGCATCCGATATAAGAGTTCATATTTCTAGCATTCTGCCTGATATTATGAATTTGTAATTCAAAGAATCATTTACATTAATTTCAGTGAAAACTAAAAACGTCTTTTAAACATTTTAACTATAATATGCATTATCATAACCGACTTGTCACACACACCACTTTCAGCAATATGTAACTAGTTATCTCTCATATCCAATGCATGTGTAGGAATATCTTTTTCTCCCTGTATTGTAATTACTGGTTAGACACTAAAATGCATGCTTTGTTTTTTTGCATTGAATGTCCTTATACATTTCTAATGATATAAATATTTTTTAAAAATTAAAAATGATTGAGGTCTCATGCTTGTAAACGAATTTGCACAGCACATGCAGAATTCAGACCTCTTCCCTGGCCAAAAAAAAAAAAAAAAAAAAAAAAAAAAAAAAGGGGAAGCACTCTATAAATTCTGAAAGACTATAAATACATACCTTTTTACCACTAGCAGCACCAACTTTAGCTTTCTTCGTGCCTCTTACTTTCTTCATTCTGTTCTTCCGTTCTTTCCTCTGTTTCCTGCCTGTTTTTGCTCTTTCACCAAAGCCATTCTGAAATAAATTAAGACAAATATATGATAAAGATGCCAGTATTTACATGCACTAGAACTATATATACAGATAAACCTTCTGTTAATGGACTTTCATTTGACCAAGATTTTGTTATTACTGCACCACTAAATGGGGTGCAGTGGTCATATTTAATTTAAAAGTTCAGAGATCAGGGTTTTCATCATTGAACTAATGTGCAATAGGCATTTCATTTTAAATCAGAACTATGTGTACACTAATAAGACAAAGGAATGAGAAACAAAACTTTAAATTCTTGACATCTACTGCAATCTAGTGATACCAAAGTGAATTCTTTAACATAAAAGACCATGGAGGTATGTAAATTTGATGAGAAAATCTACTGCTTTGGGCTTCTCAGCAAACTCATCTAAGGGGGGGGGGTTCAAAAGTAAGATTTTATAAGTGAATGAGCTGAGCAAGTCTATAAATGTTTATGAATGCTTCTATAATCATTTTATAAGAACTTGTGGAACATGCAAAACACAATGCAGGAGATAAAGTTTTTTTATTTTGCTAGATTTCACATAGCACTATGCTTCCTTAATATTTTAACCTTTTACACACAAGAAAAACTAACAATTTTAACTCCTTGTTAAAATGACACACTTTTGATCTTCTACATAATAATTAACAAGTTTTCTAAATTGACAGTTACTTGGAAATATGATGACTACTTATATACATTTCCAAAATAAAATGCAAATGTCAAAGTTGAACATGCTGCCCTATTTCTAAAACATGCACAAAAGTATGCAATTTGACATTACTATATTACAGTCAAAAGTCGTTAATCCGGACTCCTCGGGACTTCGGCGATTACGGATTATAGATCATCAGTTTAAATCTGGTAAGATGGCATGCAGAAATTACAAAATTAAAAATATGAAACCGTAATTTATGAAATAAAGAACAATTATGATCTAAAGGGTATCAAAATTTACAAAAAGAAAAAGCTTAATATTTATTTGTTTACTTTATTAAACATTTCCTTCAATGTAAGTTGCTTCGTTTCATGTGATAATACTTTCTCTTTAATTCTATTAAACAGACATAATTTCTTGTTTAGTTACAAAGTTCCGCTGTTCCAGTCCTATAATTGCTGTGTTGAGAATACCGACTAATTTGTCAATCGAAATGTTTTTGTTTTCAATAACCTCTGGGTCACTTTCTTCACTATCGGAAGCGAATTATAATGACAAGGAACTTGATTTAAATCATATCAAAGACCGATAGTGCTGACAGATTAACTTCCAATCCGCCCCGTGAAATTGATAAACAGATTTCGGATTTCAAAACATACTTTCGCTTTGTAGATACAAATTATTTTTAAATATATATCGAAAATTCTATTTGACATAATCGTTTCTAATCTATCATAATCTAATAATGACGTTTCTGCCCTCCCTCTGCGGCAGAGCAGCGTGAAATTGATAAACAGATTTCGGATTTCAAACATACTTTCGCTTTGTAGTAAATATATATCGGAAATTCTATTTGACATAATCGAAAGTTCAAGCTTACTTTTATAAAATTGCTCTAACAGTCTGCAAAAAATAATAAGCCGGATCCAATTCGAAGATTAAGGAACAACGCAATCTGAAACATTAACTGAATTAGATAACTTTAGCTTAGCGTATAACTCCGTTACACATTAAAACGCATGCGCACAAACATATTCGCAGCCGTAAGGGTCTTACGCGCTCTCGTTAACGCCTGTGCGCATGCGTGAAAGCGACGCATGCGCAGAAAGTTTGTAGCTTTGAGGTCCGGATTATAGATCATTCCGGATTACGGGTGTCCGAATTAACGACTTTTGACTGTATAATATGTTTTATTTATAATTTTAAAATTTTCAAGTGTTTGAAATACAAAAAATGTATATTATCTGAAGGGCGAAAGTTTAGCCATACACTTCCTGTTATAACTACAAAACTTGCACTGATTCCTGCATGGATCTAACTTTACAATACTTTCATATCTCAATTGAAAGGTTGTATGCAAATATAGGTAAGTTTTGTGTAATATACTTCAAAGACTAGCCGAAATAGGTTGAAACTTGTGTTAATAGAAAATACACAGTGTTTAAATATATATTCAATATCAGTGGATCAATTAAAAAATATTAAAAAAAAATTCTGGTGGCACTATCTGAAATTTGCACCAGAATTTACTGTCATCCTCCACAACTTGTCTTTACCTCCATGTAAATAAAGTGATTGAATTCTTTTAATTCATATTCTAATACCTAATTTTTAAAAACAACACAGGCAACTTTTATGAAACTCAACTTTTTGGCAAAATTTAAGATGCAGTATTGAAATATAGGGGAAAAAAAAACAGCATGTCATTTCAGAAAAAGTTTGATTTTGTGTCATATACCTGTGCTATATAAAAACTATGCATCCTATGCTCCATTTCGAGACATGAAAAATGCAAGTTGGTTTTCATCAATCGGCACAGCAGAACATGCTCAATATGGAATTTTCCTATTTTTTTGACACAGTGTACAAAGCCATTGGAGTAAATTTCTGACCTTATTTTCCCCAATAAGGAGACAGCCATTGAAATTCAGCATTACTGTGAGATGCAGTCAAAAGTGATCGATAGTACAATTGGATATTTTTCCTTGCAGCAGCCATTCTGAAATTTTGAGGCCCACTGCTTATTGATGCCTTTCTTTTGCAAAATTTCATGAGAGACCTTCAAGATGGAGTACATGAAATTTTACTTTGAATTTATCAATGGCTTCATTTCTAGCTATATATAACATATGCAGTTTTATGGACTAAAGGACAAAGCCGCATCTGCAAAATAGCATGCTTAAAAGTAAAAACTGAGAAAGCTTGGAGCTATATATTACAGCCTATTATTTAAAAATAGGCATTTTGAGACTTAACCCTTTTGCCGTCCTCTCCTGTCTGTGAAAATGTCTCCCCCAGCGGCCGTCTATTTTTCGTAGTGTGTAATGTTTTCTCTGTACATCATAACTTTCGTAGTGGATAAATGTCAATGAATATTAATTAAAATAAATAAATGGAAAAATAATATCTTTGCTTATTTCTAACAGCAGGATAATTTGATAACATCTGTTCCAGGCGGTCTACTCCTCCCATTATGTTGTAATCTTTTACAATTATTGGTTTTTTTAACAGTTCTTTTCAGTGTCCCAACATCAATCATTGAGTTATTATGGACTGTACTCATCAAATGTATATCCTTCTTGTCTTTCCAATTCACAACCTCATTCTTTCTCTTTCTCTGCGGAGTAGATGTAGAAGCCATCTCTCACTGTCTTGTATCTTATGTAAAATGGTGTGAATATTCATAAAACCCGGGGCAAATTCAATTAGAAATAGAATGCCTGATTAGTACTGCCCTCTAGGAGGTATTAGAACAAATAAAATAAAAACTTAAACAAGTAAACATTTAGAAAGCATTTTAAAGTGTAGAAGAACGACGCTTATAGCGCGTTACGGATGACGAAGAGGTTAACAGCCCTCCGTATTTGCCATGACAACACAAGTTGTTATGAGTTATTAAAAGTATCATATTTAAATCTTTCCAATTTAAATTACAATGGCAATATAATTCTAGATGCATTAACATGAAGGACATATTTATACAAATCTATATGATTATCTAAACAAAAGCATTACTAATTCTTTTTTATGTTAAATTTAAATATATTAATTAGTAAATAAATATTACATACCCTTATGAGACGATACTTTGGCTCAAATTTTTTTGCATAATCTAATGTGTCATATATAAGAGCAAAACCGGAAGATTTGCCGCCACCAAACTGCGTCCTAAAACCAAAACAAAATATGACATCTGGTGTAGTTTTGTACAATTTAGCTAATTTTTCTCGGATTTCTGTTTTTGGAACTGATCCCTTTCCAGGATGAATAACATCTACAACCTATTTAAAAAAAAAAAAAAAAAAAAAAAAAAAAAAAAAAAAAAAAAAAATTATGACTTGGCAACAGAACTAGCAACATTACTCACATCTATCTTAGCTGAATCTGTCATTTTGAAAGATAAGTAATTCTAGAAATGAAATACAGTCGAAAGTATAATCCGGAGTCGTCGGGACTTCGACGATTCCGGATTTTAGATCATTAGTTTAAATCTGGCAAGATGGCATGCAGAAATTATAAAATTAAAAATATGAAACCGTAATTTATGAAATAAAGAGCAATTATGATCTAAAGGGTATCAAAATTTACAAAAAAAAAAAAAAAAGTTTAATATTTATTTGTTTACTTATAAACATTTCTTTCAAGATCCATGCGTAAGCAGACATTACGCATAGTTGAAATTAGAAAATTGCAACCAGAAAACTATTTGATGTGTATTCGTGATATTTATAATGATGAGGAATTTGATTTAAATCATATCAAAGACGGAGTACATCGAGATGAAATACTACATTTAGTAAGCCAAATAAAATAAAAACATCTGCCCTGAAGATAAGGATACTGCTGACAGATCAACTTCCAATTCATTGCGTGTAAAAACTGCTTACCCATAAAAAGATATCACACTTTTGAATTCAAGATACAGCATGTGATGATTTTCAGCAATTAAAAAAAAAAAAAAAAGAGGCCCCCCCCCTGGATCAGAAAACTGGAAAGAAAAAAGGGAGGAAGTCCAACCAAGAAGAGGTTAAGGTTAGTTATAGAAAAACTTTTATCTCCATATGATCTTATTAAAAAACAGTAACTATTTAGCATTTTATTTATTATTGCTTCAGATATCTTCACTGTAGCACACTAGCAGAATAGTCTACACTTTCAATTAGATCTCGTAACAGCTTAAACCTAGGTAGATCCTGCGCATATTTCTTACCACATCCGATAGACTACTTGTTCAAAACACGCCAGCTTACAAAGAAAATGCCATACCATAAATATATGACAGATGCAACTGCTAAAGCAAACTGCAGAACATACAGAGGTCCCCCCTTGGGTTAGAAAACTGCAGCAAGATATCAGAAGCATTAAAATTTCTGGCAAATCAAATGTTAACATAAGAAGACAACCCGCATGTGAAGAAATAATAGTTGTAAGAAGTGCATATCATTAGTGTTAAATAAGAATAAGAAGCATATTAACCCTTTAAGCGTGCTTGACGAACTCACCTCGTCATCGTCCCCACTGCAGTGCATGCGCAGGAGCAAACGCTACACGCTTAAAGGGTTAATGCTCATAAGATGTCATGATGTGCTATTTTCCCAAACTGATGCGATTCATGAAAGATTTCACTCTAGGTCAGCAGGAGATTTGCCTTCCACTCATCTACTGAAAAGGCTATCCTCAACAGCAAGATATCATAATTGTTTAAAAAGGTATCACATCATAACTGCTGAATAAAAGAATGCAACACTCTGTGAAGAAAAACAACTAGTCTGACTTCATGGAGCCACGCTGCAACTAACATCACAAGCCACTTAGTCCTAGTCTGGACACTGCCGCGATGGAAGACCAGATCTTTTTTTGTGACCTACTGGACAAAGAGAGAGTCTTGTGCCATTATCTCAATCATTACAGAGATCGACGTATCGGAAATTTTTCCACCAGCTGAGTAGATGCCGTTTAAGAGCTAAACTTAAGATGGTTTTTGAAAGTGAACGAAATGAATTTTTTAATTTCTTAAGATTTGCAAAAAATTTGAGTGTTTCGCGATAGAAATAATACAATTGATGCTGACGATTCTACTTTTATTGGATATTTCGACTTACCAAACCTATAGCATGGAACCTTATGAATAAATTAAGGCCATACTTTACTGGAGCATCCAGATCAAAATCTTCTGAATTATAGGTAAGGAATTATTCGCTTGTTTTCATATCTGCATGACATAGGCTTCTGGCTATTGATAAGCAATTTCTTAATTTTAGTGAAAATAATATATTTGGTGTTTTCCTTTATCACGTATAAAGAAGGAGTGCATATTTTAAATTTAAAATTGTAATTTTTAAACTAATGTACTTAATTTCATATTTTGATGAGTAATTTGTAAATTTTATGTTTTAAATCATAATGTATTTCCCTCCGCTTTTATTTTAGGTCGTAGCATATAAATATGTAATATATTAACAAATGCATTAAAAATGTGCAATATATATTCAAATTATGCACATCCTAAATTCAACACTCATATTAAATTGCTTCGAATTAAAAAAATCTGTTTAAGTAGTTTTAATTGTATATGTCGATATGAATGTCAGCTTTCAGTAGTTTTTAGAATCTCCTGTATACTTCAAGTTAAAATTCTTGTAAATATTTTAATACATGATTTATAATTAGTTATCAGATTTTTTATGTGGTCTGCTTTAAGATATCACATTAGTTTTGTGTAATTTTTATTCATATTAAAAAAGTGTTTGGTTTTGGTTTTATGTGATTACTGCAAAACCTTGAGGGTTATCTGCTTAAGGTGAGAGTTGCCTCTGTGGAAGATTTTTTTAAGGGAAACTAGCTCTTATACACTTAACACATGGGAAAAACCATGAAAACGCTCATGTAGCCAGCTCGTTCGCGGGATTCGAACTACCAGTTTTCAGCAATTTTACCGCTTCACCGCTGGTGGGATGGACTTAAAAGAGTACAAATAGGAATATGTACTGCAATTTCTTTCACTGCATATGTTAATATATTTATAACAGTTAGATATACATATATGTATATATAGTTATTTATTTAAAAAAAAATTTTGTGTGCTTTAAATATTTATGTTTATGGAAGTTACCACAGATATATTTGTAATGATGCCCATGCAACCAGCCCGTTAGCGAGATTCAAACCTCGGACAGAACTACCAGTGTTCAGCGATTTTACCGCTTGTCCACTGGTAGGATCGATTTAAAAAAGGTAGATACAGGAAAATGTACTGAAATTTCTTTCACTACATACGTTAATATATTTATAATACAGTTATATATATGTATTTATTTAAAACAGGCTTTGTGTGCCTTAATCTTCTTTGCTTCAAGAAGTTACCAGAGATATGTTGGTAATGACAGATATGTAGGGCTGAGTCATAAAGATGTCAGTTGGTGTATTTGAGAAGTTACAGATGCTATTTGTTCTGGTATTTTCACCAAATGGATAAAATTTACAGTAAAGAGAAGTTTTCAACAAAACAAAATCAAATTAGGATTCAGTTGAAAGTTTGGATTTCCTGGTGTCATAGGTGCTGTAGATGGTACCCATGTATCTATAATGCACCTAATGACAAGGAAGAATGCCAAGGTTACCTATAGAAGCAGAAAATTTTGGCAATTGCTTAATGTGCAGTTATGTAATTTTTCCTTCCATTTTATATAATATATAAATACACCTGTGTATGTGCATTTATATGAAAGATATGTTCTGTGACTTAACCAATAGTTATATATATTATTTTCCTTTGTACTACTTTTGTTAAAATTTTTTATCACTAGTAAATTGTTTTTTAATGCATCATTCTAAAGTTTTCTGCTTATTGATATTTACAATACAGTCAAAAAGTCGTTAATTCGGACACCCATAACCCGGACCTCAAAGCTAAAAACTTTCTGCGCATATGCGTGTGCGCAGGTGAAGAATACGTTTTCGCCTGCGCATTTAATGTATAACGGAAGGTGTAAGCTAAAATTATCTATTTCAGTTAATGTTAATGATTGCGTTGTTCCTTAACCCCTTAGCCCGTGTCTTACACGGGCGATAGTTTCCGGCAAATTTGCACATGTCCGTGTCTCACACGGGCGCCTTTGTATCTCGTGTTATTTTATTTCTAATGCTTGTCTGAGATCCGTTCCAGTAAAAATAAATAGGCTAGATTATAATAAACTTATTTACCATAGATGGCACCTCTGTGCATATTTTTCTTGTGTAAACCACGTGGCGCATTTTGATGATTAGCTACAAGTTTTTTAGGAATTTTTTGTTATGAAGCAGTTGTTTGGTGTGGAAAAGGTAATATATATCCATTTTTAATGTGTTAATTATCATAAAAGTAAGCGGTTAACCATAAATTAATTTTTACTAAGTGTTTTTGTAACTTGTTTAGAAAAATTATCTGATAATGAGCGACTCTGATGATTTTGAATATGCCAATTTATCAGAAAGTTTCAGCAATGAAATGCAGTGATGGTTTCATGAGTGATGGAAATGAATCTGAAGATGATGATGAGATTTTGGCTGTAGCAAGAAATTGGTTTCAAATTAGTATAAATCAACAAACTTGCCCACCGAGATTTCGATTTGAAGCTAACCCTGGCATGATTATGCAAGAAACAAAAAATAGGTGATTTTTTGACCGAAAATTATAAATTAATGTGTGCCTTAAGGGGTTAATCTCGAATTGGATCCGGCTTATTATTTTTTGCAGACTGTCTGAGCAATTTTATAAAAGTAAGTTTGAACTTTTAATTATGTCAAATAGAATTTCTGATGCTGGATACTGCCACAGGATCTACAAAACGAAAGAATGTTTCAATGTCCAACAAACAAGAAATGGAATTGCTGCAAAAAATAAATAAAGACATGAAGAAGTGTGACAGAAGGTTAGTGAAAACGAAAAAATTTCGATTGACAGTTAGTCGGTATCTCGGCACAGCAATTAAGGGACTTGAACAGCGGGAACTTTGTAACTGAACAAGAAATTGTCTTTATAGAATTAAGAGAACGTATTATCACATAAAAGAAGCAACTAAACAACTTACATTGAGATAAATGTACAAGTAAACTAAATATAAGCTTTTTTTTGTAAATTTTGATCCCTTAGATCATATGTTCTTTATTTCATAAATTAGTTTAATTTTTAATTTTAGAATTTCTGCATGCCATCTTATGAGATTTAAATTGATGATCTATAATCCAGAATCGCAGAAGTCCCGACGAGTCCGGATTAATGACTTTTTACTGTACATAGTATATCTGTAGTTATGTGATAATTATAAATATGTATAAAATGATTGATATAATCATCAATTGCTAAAAAATTTAAATTCTGAATATTAAACATGCATATGCGATGCTACATTT